CTATCAATCGAAAGGAGACTGCGACCACACCAGAGGCCACAACATCTTGGTCTTCATATATTCAATTTATATCTTATGTTTGCTAATTTTTCCGTTATGAGAATAAGCATTTTTTGTGATCTTATCTGAAACCATAATAAAATGATCGTTGGCTTCAATTGTTAAACGCTTCCTCCACTGGGACACTGTTATGTTCCTTGATGACACTTTACATCTTCAAGTCTATGAAGGATATCTAGCATCTCGTAAGTGCCGAGTCCTTTACTGTGAGTTTGCTTAATCTGCGCATTGTATGGCTTGCCTATTGTCCTCTCTTTCCCTGATGTAAATTAATTTAAGCCCTCAATGCAATTGCATACTTCATATCTTATAGATGATTTTATGTACATTTTTCGTAAATGGTGAAAAAAACAATTGCCAGACACTGGCGTACCTTCAATTTCGTCCGAGAAGGCCTGTAGAAGGGATTTGTAGATTGGCCCCACAGGATACCGCAGTAGGATTGCCTTGTACTCTTGTCTGTTGAACTGTGCGAAGAAAACCTCGGATTAGTGTCCTACGACCCCGACGAATCCGCGCTGAGCATTCGTCCGTTATGTGACGCACATCGTCAGAGCCAGAAACTATTATTCACGAAAAATCCTAGTTAATTTTAATGACACTGAAACTTATATGCCTTTACTAAAAGATCCAAGATAAAAACTGAAAACTAGGCTAGAAGATGACCTTAAGGTATGCGTAAGTAATGGTGAAATTGAGAAGTGAATTCACTGCTTCAGAGAGATGCAAGGGCCCCACGGCTTACGGTCTTCCTAAGATTCACAGAGACCACTATATATATACATATATATATATATAATGTTAGATCTCACAAGAATTTCCTTTTATTTAGTAGTCAGCATTCTTGGAACTTGCCTCTTCAAACGAAATGAATAGTATGCGAACATCCAACTCGGTATTTGCTAAAAAGGTAATCCAATTAGGCAAACTCATGTGTGTCCTTAAAATCTCTAGCGGGTCTACCAAAAATGGGTGGGGCAGAACCTCGTTATAAGATTACTACTGCGACATACGATCATTAACATCAGTTACTCAGGAAACTAATTTGATTTCAAGTATATTTCTATCTTTCATGGATGTTTCAACCAAACAAGGGTTAGTAAAGTTCGGTGCCAAGAATGCTGACTACTGAATAAAATAGAATTCTTGTGAGATCTAACATTAATTTTTGGACGTCTCAAGCAAACTCTTGCAAATAGTATGAGGCGATTTGTTATCTATGCTCAAGGGTATACTGTCAAAACAGTTAATACGCAAAAAGTACAGTCAAGTATGTCAGAGATACAGGGAAGCGGCACCGGGTTAAAAGAATCCCCAGAACAATAGGTAAATTCAAATTTATCTTTCCGGTTGTGAAGACCCCCACAATCAGGCTGCTTAATCCCCTCTATGCATCCATGCGTTACACTTTAGACTTGGCCTCTTTGGGGGATGATGCATTATGACTTATTTAGACCTGATATAATGGTCCTTTCTATTTTCGCTTATTTTCTCTTTCGTATTATTGTCTTGACCTTTTTGTGTTTAAATTAAATGGCATACTTTTTAGTAAACATGAATTGCATAAAGATAAAAAGTAATCCCCGTTACAATCGAATCCTAAACTTCTGCCGAATTTGTATCTTATTTCACTGTCAAGGTGCTCTTAGTAGATAGCAATTAGAATGATATTTTAGACATCCATACCTTATTTCAATCGTGTTTTCATGGAACAATTTGATAACAAATTATTTATTCGAGCAAAATAATAAAT